TGATGTTACGGAAACCACAAACTTAACGTGCAGGTTATCTGCCAAAAAACGTTATTTTGCGTTATTTAGTATAGGCACCAGTTATTTTGCGTTATTTAGTATAGGCAAAATAACGTTTTGTATTTATAATGGGATATTTCATACTTTTATTACTTATTGATTCAATTTACTTGTGTAAATCGTCTGTTAGTAATACCAATATACAAAAATAAAAAAATAAAATAAATGCACATAACCTGCACGATAAGTTTAACGTTAGCGAAACATCACAGGGTTTAATGTCATCGAAACTAAAATTATCTGACATAAAGGAGGGAGGAAAATGAAGGTTTCATGACGATTTCGGGTAAAACAAATTGTTGATACTATCTCCATAAAATGGAGTAGAAATTATTAATATGCGTTGTTAATCAATTAAAAGAATTAATTTTTGTGAGCTGCGTAAATAAATATAAATTAATTCGTTTACGTATTTAAAATAAACGTGACGGTATTTAATTAATGATCCTGATGTAATCATAAAAGCTCTTTAAATATTTAATATGAATAATTAATTATAATTATTGCTTTATTGTATCTACAGAGAAACTCATTCATCAAATTTAGTTTCAAAAAGGTTTAAATTTAATTTGACCAATAATTAAATTAGCCGTTGTAGCATATTATATTTCTAGGCAGCATACTCAATATTTAAGTGAACCGTTTATTGTTAATTAATAACTCATTTTCAGAATACTGAGGAGGTTTCTTCTTGTTGGCTAACTTTAAACAACCCTAATTTGTAAAAGGGTATGACAACCATTATTACATTATTGAAAATCGTTCTAAAATTACACCTACTGGCTGTATTTCCAATTTTAGTGTCTGCCCTTATTTAAGCGCTTTGAAAGAGCTTTTTGGATGGTAAATTTGCAGCTATTGTGGCCTTTTTTTTTATTACACTGCACCATCGGTGCATTAGATTCGTATTATGTAAATATGGGCCACCTAATCTGGTAATCGATTGACTCGAACGCGTTCGAAATCTGATATCATTCCATACAGTTAGAATGACAAAAGCTATCCTGTGGATCTTTTTTTAGGACAATATATATCTCTTCTATATTCGTGAATGGCCAACTAGAAGACCTTTTTTGTAGTTTTATAAAATCTAAAACGCATTATTCTAGTATCTCGATAAATCCGTATCACCATCAATTGTTTTTCATGGCGGACAATATTGCAAAATAACACAACGTAACGTACAAATATAACTTTTAGTGCCGGAAGCGAGGACCCTACTGAGACACACAAAATATAACGATCCTGTCAATTCTACTTTTGCCAATCGGAAGGATGTCGTAAAAACGGCTTAGGTATATAAACGAATGGCGTTAACACGATTATTATTTCACTTTCAATTGGATTATTATAGCACTATACATCAATCCCATTACTTAAATTAGTAGAGGACGATGTCCTATTTACTTCTGCTGCATTGGGGTTGATTCACTTAAACAGTTTAAAACTTAATTGCAATTTTTCATTGTTTGTGCTATTTTTGCTTTCGTATAACAGAAAATCAATGTGGCAAGAACAAATAGTATAATGCACTTGGAAAATTGCCAGAGCCATTTTAACACACAAATTTATAGCGAACCCGTTGAAATAGAACTAAAAACTGGAGAGTCGTATTGTTGAGTTGAATCTATTTAAAGCATTAGATAACATTTCGGTATGTAAAACACAAAAAACATACTGCAGTCCAGCTTCGACTATTTCAACAATGTACATACAATAAATATCGAGAAAGTTGAAAGGGTTGTTTAAAATGAAGTAGCCTTTATCTGTCACGTGCATGTAGATTTAGATCTTCAAAGATATTGCATCTGCGGTTTATCGTGAACAATGAAATAGAAAAAAGTTCATTTCTCGTATCTATTCATAGAGTTGGGATATGTTGAATGCCAAAGCTCTTTTATCATTTCTCTTTTGAGCTTCAGTTTTTCCAGTTTTTCATTTATGTATGGTTGAATTTGATATCTCTTACTTAATAACGTGTCGCAGCTAAAGTTCCTTTTAAATGCAGTTTGTTGAAATTTTATGTACTTTTGCACATTAAAAACACTTTTTAACTTTTCCTAACATTACCCAAATCAAATCTACCCAAAGCAAATTAATATTCATCAAAAACTGCAGGCGAAAATAAAAAAAAGTACTTACTTCTGAAACACTTGTATGATCCTCACGGTATGCGGTTGTATTACGGTTGACTATATGGACGCAACCTTTTTAGTTGTGGGTTACGACAATATTTTGCACGAATAAAATAACGTTATTTCAACTTCAAAACCTCGAACTAACTTGAATAATCTCAATAACTCTGATGGCGCAAAAAGGTCACGAATACCCATGCCGTTAATAGTGAGAACGTCTGATCATCTTTTTTTGCGTAACGCTTTCTTTTATAACCAACGCGTTATCGTTAACCACCTCCACATTTTTGCAAAACCGCGTTTTGTTGCGAATTTAAATACATCAATGTAAACAAAATATTATCATTTGTTGTCTTATCCAAACCCATTAACTTTTAAACCACTTGCATATTTTAAAGAAAAATTGTGCTTAACAAATGATCCCTAAAAGATGAAGAAATTTTACACAAGGAAACATCTGCAAATTTTATCAAATTCCATGTGTTATCAAATTAAATAAAAGCAATAATTTGGTACCTGGTTCGCGTAATTAAACAAACACAAATCATCTATAGTAATCAACCTTTATCATAACTATAAGCCACCAGACAATTGCTCCATAACAGAGCATAGGTCTCATCACGGCAGTGTACAGCTACAAGACAGCCTTCGCAGATGGTCCCCAAAGTCTGCCAATTGCGCGGTGACTTTGCCAGAAAGTCCTATTTACTTCTTCGGCTTTGAGCTGGATATGTTTGCTCCAATTCAGTTTTTTGTCAAGTGCGATTCCTAGAAGTTTCACTGACACGGAGATGTTTCCTTTTTCTTGTGAAAAGAACTAGCTTCGTTTTTGCCGGGTATACCAGGGGTATTCCCTACACCATTCTTCGGCTATTCTAAGAGCTGATTGCATCAGTTTTTAGCTTCAAATTTGTCGGTTATTATAGTATGAACATATCGTCCGCGTACCACAGCGTATAATGTCATTGAGGCGAGAGAGGAGGCTGCTTATAGTTGAGTTTTAGAGAAGTGGTGACAGCTTGAGAGCATCCTCTCACTACTGTGCACCTTAGTATTTCGTTGCGATGAGGTGGAGTCTACAGAGGACATGACTGTTCAAATGACTCCACAATGGAGTTGGGTAAAAAGATCGCTTTGTCCTGTATGTTGGCAGGACCCGGGAAGCGTCCTCCGAAACGGTGTTCTCTAAATGTTTCTCCAGAACATCCTTTACCTTGGGTTTCGATAACCCATTTTGATGGCTCGACCGTTCTGCCTATAGTCCGGATTTCCAACTTTTATCTGCTTCTATCGTTAAACTAACACCTTGAGGGCCGCCATTTTGACTCGGATGATTGCTTGAAAGCTGCTGTTGACGACTTTTTGGCACACAAGGCAGAAATATTATGTTTTGTGTATGAGTATGAAGTTACCAGTTTCGTCAAGCAGAAAAGAAGACGGTGGTGTCGAGTCAAGTGTTGATTGTACACAGTGCTGGGAATGGAAATTTTCTCGAACCGGAATGCAAACATTGGCTCATTAGGAGGAGGGGGCGGGGGGGGGGGGGACATAGAAAAAAATAATAGTACGTACATAAAAACAACGATCAAACGTAACAAAAATTAAATGTTGCATTTTTATTCATTACCTTTGTGTAGAGACAAGTGGATACTGCTGGGTTCCGTATGCTGGTATGATCTGGAGGACGTATAATCGTTCCCATGTGTGATTTTTACCTCATTAAGAAAAAATAAGCCAATAATATGTAGGAATCTGTGAAATTTCTTTGTATCCGTCTTTTTGTTTCATGCCAAGGTAGATTTCTTCTTTAATGTCTCTCGTATACGAATAGTGTAAATACTGTACACATGGTACAAGTGTGTCTTAGATGGTTACTATTTACGGGTAGGTCTGTTATGTCTCAATCTAAGCGACGACATAAACGTCAAATAATGCCTTGCTTTCTGAGATCTTGCAGGTTTTATTTCGGGTAATTTCTAAAGCGTATCATAAACATTGAATAGCTTTAAAAAAGATTTCTACGTTACAATAGCTAAATTTAAGATTACATCAGACGGTCGTAATCAGATTGGACCTAACTTTCACATCTGCTTACAAAAAATTTCTAAATATAAGACAGCATAATATCTACCACGCAATTTTAATTTTAACGTAATTCATAGTTCCCATCTAAACTCGATTTCTTTCATCTGATTACCTCCATGTTCCCATAATGTGTAACTTTAGTGCCATTTTCAGTCGTTTCACATGTTCCAACATCGCTAACTTCACCACTTGAAGATTTCCCGAATACTTTTTGGATTTTATAAAATCGCATTCCTGCATGGAAGAAGCATTTTTCTCTGCTGTGGTACAGAAAGTTAATTACCCCAATCTTCAGATGCTAATGGATGGTTTCGCAAAGTTTCAGTTCTCAATCAATCTTCCTTAATTATCGTATGATTATTATCTAAGAGACTGTCTCATATAGGCACTTAAAATTTCACATTTCAACGATCGAAGAAGTTCCATAGAATTATTATTAACCTACGAACTATTATTTTGTTAATAAATTGAAAATATACAAGAAAATTCTATTTCCTCTATTATGCCTTGGCCCCTTTTATTTGCCTTATTGTTCGTGTAAAGTGGAGCACGGAAGTTTCCAGTAAGTTACTTATCCTGTGCCCTTGCACCTACGTTACAAAATTAGAATTGAACCAGCAGCAACTCACCTGAAAGCACCGCGACGACACGAACGCTTGTCTCCGCATTCAGTAGTTAGTTGTAGGCGTCGTTGGTACAACGTCCCAGAATAAAAGCGTTCGCCGTTCTGACGTTTATTTACAAAAATAATGTACTTATTGTTAGTAACACTTTTAAAATATTTCTTGGTTTTTGGACGTAGAAAATGTAGTCTAACTAAATTTTGGTTTATTAAGTGAATTATTGATACTTTTCTGGGCAATTTATTTTGCGCCATAATCTGTTCGTGACAGAATTAATAATACAATACGGCTACTGCGAACGGGGGTGACTTTAATAACCATAAAACCTTCTTACTTAAAATATTTTGACAATGATAGACTGGGTGTCGATTGTACGCCATTCTCGGCGTCGGTTTTCAAATTATATGTACGGAGTTCCTAACAAAGTCCGCAGGCGTCGTCGCCATAAACGACCACCAGCTGACGTCGTCGCTTCCCCTACAGATCAATCTAAGTCTTCTTGCTGCTGGGCGGAGAAACTTGAGGTAATTAGTTTATGTGTGGAACAGAAAATATATCTTCTTGTCCCGATGTATCCTGCAAAAGGAAATTTTTAATTTGTTGTTACGCGTATGTAACCATTTCTTCCAAATATTCATGTAGTTTGACAGCTATTTCATCAAAACACGCGGCTTGTATCAGAAAACATAACAGGGATCTAATCTGTTTTACAGCAATATTTGTAGTGCTTGAAAGAAAAGCGCTTGTTCAGATATACATATTACATGTCTAGACGTTTGTTCAGCGCGGATTACGTGTCTGATTTAATCAAAAGGCTTTTCCGAAGCGTCTGGTAATAGAATCGCTTGCTTACACGTCGTTATATGAGTTTGTAAGGCTGATATAATTATGTACAGGGTTGTCCAAATTGAACCGTTTCTTATGGCAACGCCCTTTATTTTGAAAGATAGAAAGAAAGACTTATGTGGCCGTGCGCTAATTAAATTTCGAGACTCCTTGTCGCAAAACAACCAGATAAAACCTTTATTTAAAGTATGCAAACTTGACCACATGTGAATGAATTACAATAGCCACAAAATTCAAACAAGAAAATAATACGCAATTAGAATCAATTCTGAAAGGAAAATATCACTGAGACAAATTCAAATGACACGAAATATATCTGTGTTTATTCGTAAATAGCCCCCAGATTTGCACTGAATACCGAACGATCCTCAAGTAACAAATAAAAAAATTGGATTGCGCATGCCCAAAACAAAATTTTTGATTCGGTATGAGTTTTCCTTTTACTCGAGGATTGCGCAAATACAAAAGTTGGACTGCCCATGCACAATATTTTTTTTTGCAGGCAGGTAAATATTTACTGACACAGAAAACCGGGCATCCATTTGTAACAATAATTACAAGAATTTTGGAGGTTCGGGCAGTTTTTGGCCTGTAATTTTCTGGCCTGTTAGTCTACGTAACTGAAAAACAATAACGACCTTTCATATATCCTTGAAAACATGTGCACCAATTTTCAAAGCGATCGGATGTTTCTAAACAAAGTTATCAAGCACACGGACAGACAGACAGTATTACAACATTATAAACGATCTCGAGGATCGTTAATAAAATTGAAATATTCTCACATACAAGGTCTACCGTCATTATTTTTGGTGATTAGGCCGGTATTAGACTATAAAAGATATTTAACAAAGATCTTTTATAAAACATATTTTATAAAATATTTGACAGTGTAATATTATTTCTTTTACAAAATATTAGTTTTATAAAATATATTTTATAGGAAGGAATAACAGACGATTACATATGATAAAATATTTTATTTAAAAAAATGTATCAAATCTTTAATAGTGTAACACCGGCTTTAGAACGAAATACCGTTCACACGATGTTGTTTACACAACAATATTTATTTGTAGCGGATCCTGCAAAAAAACCGTTTTTAAAGCAAGGAAAGTCGTCCATAACGGCGCACCGCACATGGCATCGCCCCCTAGGTTTACCCCGTCGAAGTAATGAAAACTCTAACGCAGCAGGTAACCTGTATATTAAGCAAATATTCTGTTAATCCTGGATAGGAAAGTGAAACCAAAAACCAATCTAGAACCTTTAAAACACTCACTTAGGCGCTTTTCTGAGAACCTACCATATGATTCTAAAGACATGCGCATTTATCAATCTTTAGGAGTGTTCCACCCTTCTAAAGTTTTTTAAAGTATTTTATGGTCTTATAGAATCATTATCAATCTTTAAAAGATAGCCTTCTCTTTCCAAAGGACTCATGATAAGTTTTGAGTATATATAATATTTATTGAAGAAAGACACAAGGAAGATCTTTTCAGTTTAATTACTCGTCGCTAAGATAAAAGTAAAGATTGAATGTTTTCTAATGGATGTTTGGAAGAGGCCTATTTGGAATTTTGTGAATATTATCGATTCTCCAGAGAATTAGTTCAGTTCTTAGATATAACCTCCAATTGACTTTCAATATGGAGCATCTGTACCAACAAATCTAACAAAGCCAGTGATGCAAAATAGCACCGTAAGTAGAATACCGCACATGCGCAGTAGCCTCCGAATGTAGACAGCTGATAACCATAGGCGTCGCAAAAATGGGTCACTTCATATTTATAAAATAAATAGACGAGCACGTTTTTAGCGCTGCTTTTTATTCTCAAAAAGGAGCGTATTGTTTCACAAACTGTTGGTCGTTCGAGCGCATTTAAAGCTTTGTATAAATCGATCAAGAACTCAGAAAAGGCCTTCGGGTTTCAGCTTTAGTTTGGTACTGCATCGTTTAGTCGAATAGCTGCAATTCTTGATAATTTACAAATTTCCTTTAATTGTCTCCTTTTATAAATCTAGACAACGAAATACCGCAGTCTTCCGGTTTTCAGCATTGGGTTGGTATTATCGAGGTATTCCTCCATCTATTACTGAGTAAGCTGAAATTTATCAATCTCATATTCATCGATATGTAGATTATTTATTTTTAATAAAAAAATGCGTAACTGTCAGTACTTACTGGCTAATTATAATAAAAATTCAAATTATAAATCAAAACATTTAAGTGTATAAAACAAACAAAACGGAAACTCTATTTGACAAAGTAAAAAAAAACTAATTAATGGTTAAAGTTAAAACTAGTCGACTGTGTATAAAGAATTTTGTAACAGAAGTTTCCCCACTACCAATGTAAATTTTGTAACACCAGACCCTATGCGCGGCAGGTAGTAGATGGTCATACATTTTTACTCCCCAGTATATGTGACTTTGTTTTGTAGCTCTCAGTCAATTACACTTTTTGTACTACTACGTTTACCACAAATTAAACACGCGGCATTCTAATAAAATTACTACTTTCGTAAAAACTACTCGTATTTTCTACTGTAATAACATAAATACGTTGCTTGTCAACCTTCGCGATGCGAGGCCACTTTAACAAATTTTACCATGCTTTTTAAAAAACTTTGTAATTTTCAATAATTTTAATTCAATGTCATCCTATCAAAAAATCAACATATAATTCAATATTCATGTCCTGAGGAAGTGGATAAACATTCAGGATAATTTGACCTGTAAAAAAGGAATTATATTTCAATTGGGGCCGATACCCAGTAGTCTATATCAACGTACTTCCTAATGGCAAATACTCCTTGTGTTATTCCATGACAGATTGACATTAATCAAAAGTTCTATATAGAAATTAAAATTTTATAATTAAATACGATTTTGGGTAAAATTTAATACCAAACTCATCAGTAAAATGACATTACTTAAAGGGCTTGACTCGGAAATTAAAGTACTTGGCCCCACAGGGACCTCGCACTGCAATATTTCTTCGCCTCGCCAGTAATGTGTCATTTTCCGGACTTCTATGTAAATAACAATTTTGAAAATCTACGGACCAGTTTAAGTTCACGAAGGTGTTAATGATTGAAGAACACTCCATTATGTAAACATTATTTTAATTACTTATAAACAAACGATGAAGATAAATAGAGGTGATTATTACTTTAATCCGAACTTGATTATATTTATGACTAGACGCAATGATATATACACAAAATTAAATTTCGTCCAGAGCTATTCCGGATTGTGTGTTTTTATAATTATTGGATAAACTGTGTTTGTAATAGCCTTGACGGCTGGAGATAATTAATTATGTCTATATTAATTCTGCCAGAACATTCTATTTTCCTAATTTAAATGACTGGGATTTATACATTCGCTGTCATTTAATCCGTTGAATAAACGAAACTAGTGGAGATTAATTTTGATTATTGTTTTAAATATTGCCCTGTGGGGTTTTTCTCCAGTACGAATGGGTTACTGATGGAATTGTTTTTCCGTGTACCACTCTTCCCATCGATTTGTTACGTAAAGATTAGGTAATTAATGTAAGGCATATCAATTTCATCCATTCTATCATGAATAAATCACTAAATGCTGATCGGTCCGATCTTATTATACATCACATAATAAAATTCAAATATGAATTAAGCCAAGGAAAGGGCATCAGGGAAAGTTCTGTCTTCATTTTCATTGATTAATGTGCTGTTGATAAATAACTATAAAATCTGTAAATTCTGTAAAACAAACGTACAGGTATTGATTGTCATCAGATTCAACAGTAGAAAAGGGACTGGGATTTTTTGGTCGAAAAATTGCATATTATTTAATCAAACGTCAGTAACTTTTACCTCCAACAACCAGGACAAGTGAAAGAAGATCCTCTTGTTACTCTTAATGAAGTGGATGCCGTTTTCGAAATGTTGAGAGATGATATAGGTACATAATATCCGTTTTGTCAACAAGCCGAAGGAAGGAATTGTCACCCGAATTCAGCCAACAATGCGTTCACTTTGTCAAGAATTTTAGAGTGTAAATGGATCCTGGGCGCAAAGTGGGCATTCACTAGCTTCAATTCACCGAACTCCATCGAATTCTAATATTCGGGAAATTCAAATAATTTAGATTTGCATGTAATTCTCAATATTGTTTGCTATTACGGTTACCTAGCAGTCTGTTAATGACTTCTCATCAAAACGTTTCATTGCAGAGAATAATTATAAAAATTTGTTTTAAGACGATTAATGGAAAAGAAACCAGAAATTCGTCCACTTTAATTGCATTAATAAAAGAAATTTCTTTGTCATTAACTAACACTTAAGAGTACTGAGACAAATACTTTCCAACGGTAATCATTACATATGATATGACCACCATGTTTTGATTTTTTTGGATTTCTTAGTAATGTTTCAAAACCAAACCTTTTTGCGCCGATAGTTTAACATCCCACTGTAAAATTAAGTAAACACTACTGAGCAAGTGGTTTACATAAATGCGGTCCTATAATTAATTTATTTCCGCTAGCATAAACACCTTTTGAGCTTTACTAATGCTTCTATAGGAAGCAGAGACAGCATTTATTTGTTAATACGTCTTTTTATAAACGTTATCAAAGTGGGAATAAATATTTGGTATTCCAAAGGTATTTATTTACTAGGCTTCATACTTCCGCCTTTATTAGATCTAATTTTAAAGCATCTCTTGGGTCTAACTATAGTTTTGTTACAGAAAGCTCGTTATGCAACCGAAGAAGACATGCCCCCACCTCCTTCTCCACCCAAAATCAGAGAAACCATGCTAATTGATGGTATCACTAGACAAAGCTCGCTAGACAGGGGACTTCAGAGGAAAGTTTCACTGGACCGAGAACCAAACAACAGGGACGCCTCAAAGGTACGTGTTATAATTCCTTTTCCGAGGGATTGCAAATGTTAAACGCACTCTACTAAATTGCCTAGTAAATTGTATCTCCAATTGCAAACCACGAGAGAATTTAATCAAATTAACGTTGTTTGCTTTAGTTTCAAACAGCAATATGTAATAACTGAATCCAAAAGCTAAGCTGTTATTAGTTTCCAGAGCTTCCAAACTTGACTTCAGTTTTCGCATTCAATTTTAAAGCGCGCTTTCGAGTACGTACCTATACATATGTATGACGTATACGCTTTTGAGGATTGAACTAAGAAATATATAAAATACTTTGTAACAGTTTAAAATAGTATTAACCTTTGTAGTCATATTTCTATTTCCATTACCCTGTATTACATGTTCGCGCATCGTTGAATGCAACCAATATGTTAATTCTCTAGTTACTTTTATATTTTTGTGTTGCCTGCCCGTTTTAGTTTCTCGATCTACCGATCAATGACGTCAGTTTACTGTAATTCGATACCTTGCTGTCATTGGTTTTTAAATTCGTTTCCTTTATCGATAAGCATTAGATATTACCATTTATGGTATTGACATATCCATCGGCTCTCGTGGTTGGTTGGAATTATTCGTCGTCGGTTGCATCGTGACCGGAAACAAGAAAGTTAGCGTCTTCTTTTCTCGCCACCTGCTTTAGAGAGACGGTCGATTTGTGATCCCGAGTTGGGGGTGCTTGTTATATCTTCCAGTGGTTGATTTTGGATCGAACACCCTTGCGAAAGCATCTTTTAACCAAGTCAACCCAAATTAATGTTTGCACCAAGCCGTTTCGTTTTAATGCTTGGGGACAAACTTCCGTAAGGAATTTTTTTTGTACTGGAGGAATTTTAAGCCACCTTAATCGGGGAATCCATCGTATTTATGGTATAAGAAGGCTACCTTACTTTAACGAAGTTCTTTTTTTTTGTGTACTCTCTGCTTTAAGAGAGTCCTTGTAAGGAGTCAAAGTCCAACGATTCCGTAGCTTCTACTTACTTTCTAAGCGAAACACATCTACGTTAAACGACAACATGCAGGAGTTCCGTGTACTGTAAAATCTGCCATTGAAACGTTACTATCTCTAAGGCGCAGCCAAACAGATACTGCGGACACCAACCCTTTTGACACCTGTTGCGGTACATAGAAAACCGTTAGCCGTTTACACGTACACCAGGAATCTTTAGGAACCAGAGACCTACCTATCGTAGTGGTGATATCTTATTATTGTTTAAACTACTTATTGCCTTTGTGTATTTGCATTTCGTTTAACCCATATTTATGTGGTAAATGTTAACTGGCCGAACACTAGAGCCACCCATATTACTCTTAATTAGTACGCTTGAACTTGAAAGGGAATAATTTGCGTTAATTAACTGCATTTACTCATGTGAAGTAAATCACCTGTGAAGTACAGAGCTCTATACTATGATTTAAACTTCGATACCCTACAAGCTACCAATCAAGGTATTCAATCCATTGTCAATTTAACCCATTAAACTCAATCACTGTGCAACGGTAGTGGGTGTTCTATACCTACTTTCAGGATTTTTGGTGTGAACTAGTTTCAGCTACTAAATTTATGTAATATTTCATTGGGGGAATTTTATGTAAACCTTGGAATTTGGGATAATTATTTCAACACTTATACTTGGGGTTGTTTAGTTTTTTTACATAACGTGTTTATTATACTTTATTGATTTTTGATTCCCATTTGGGGAACATAACTTTTGTGTTGGTGTTACGTATGCAGGTGCAATTGCACCCAATAAACATTTTTTTTTGTGGGTTATCAGTTGCCTACTTTAAAGCTAACGCTACCTTTCCTAGTTCCGGTAGTGGCAAGCGAAACTTTTCACTTGGAATTAGGTGGCGCCCATAGAGATTTTAATTGAAGCGACCAAAAGTAAGTACTGACGACCTAGGCTGGATCGAGGAGTTATAAGTGCAATTACCAATTGAGTTAATTCTGTTACCCACAACCCTGTACATTAGTCTTTCTCTCTCCGCTGTTTGCTATTTGATCAACAGAGCTAGCTGGCCGGTCAGCACATGGTATTTTTTGTAGTGCCTTGCATTTTGTTGCTTGCGCGTTATAACTTTTGAGTTTTTTTGTGCCCCGAGATTCCGAACTGCAGAGTAATGGTTATCTTAATTTAAGTAAAATATTTCATAATGATGTTACATCAACGTCCTGACCTCATACTATTACCCGGGTTAAAAAATCGGCTTGCAGCCCTTGCTTTGGAAATTTTCCAGTTTGTTAATGGTACACAAAGGGCTTTTATCGTACATGCCATTTACGTTCACTTGTCCCGATTGTGCCTATCTACTTCATTTCTTTGACCGTCGTACTGAAAGACAGAACGAAATGTTTTTGGATCTAGGTATACATCACAGGATAATATTAATTCTCACCCAATCAGAATACACGAAAGTGTTTGTTCAGTTCTTTTTGTACAGTAACTTTATTTACCATCTGAAGCAGGTGAAAAGATTGGTCCCCCTAACGTTAATTTGATTGATTGTTTCCACTTGCGGATTGCGGATAAGTGTTGTGATCCAGTCACATATTTTGGATCCATTTGGCCATTGAAAGTGAAACTATCTGTGGCTCACTTTAATTGAGTGGGATCTTCACTCAGTAATTAAAGAGGGGATCATTCAGAGTTGAAAAAATTAACAGATGATGCAATCGAGGGGAGATCATAAGTTTTAATGGCAAGGGAATTTATATTTTCTGGGTAAAAAATTGGAATTAATTGTCTTGTTTCTGAGCGATATAAATAATGAGGGCAATTCGGGAAACATAAAGGTTTTATGTAAAATTTTATGTCAGTTATTAACCGGAAAAGTTGCGTGTTAATATACACAAAGTATTACTATATTATGTAAAAAACCGTAGTAATTTAAAGTAATTTAAAATTTTTAAGTGTAGAGCTGCAAACCTAAATAAACGAAGACTTCCTTTGAATACGAAAACAAATGTGCTGGCCGAACGGTCATCATACGCGTTAAAGGAAAACTTTGCTTCGGATTACCAAAATCGCGACCGGTTTACATTAATCGTATAAGTGTAATCCAATTATAACTGAAAAACTGTCAACATTTCAACACTAAACTTAGATCAATAGATCCCATTGTTGGACACGTCATTATATCGTATTTTTTGTGCAATTGCATACTGACGATTTTTTAATACTAAACAGTAACGAAGTTCAGAAAACTGAGTAGTGTATACAAATCAGGTTATTAGAAGTTAAATTTCGGCTTACCAGTATCAAAAAACCGCAGAAATCGAGCCCATTGTAATCAAGAAACAATCTCACTGAAGTATTTACCTATTACTAGAAGGATTCAATATCGATGGGTTTCCAAGTGCATTTTTCCTAAAAGAAAACATATGATTTAACAAGCCAACTGTACCGAGAAGTTAAGAAAATCAACTCATTTCATAAACAACAAAATCATAGTCCAGGATTAGTTCTATTTGTTTTTGTCCAAGGTCTTAAAGTAAATATTGAATACATACAATGCAATGTAAAAAACGAATTTGTAGAAAATTGAACGTAAAAGCCTTAAATTGATGGATCTTAAAGGATTCAATCAATTTGACATTTTAATATCACTAGTAATGTATAAATTTGAGAGCCTATTGAATTTGGTTAGGATGTAGAATCAAATTGGGCTTAAAGGAATTTTTTATTGCACAATTTCAATGCAACATTTTGCCAAATTCAAAGATCATTTTCTTGCTGATTTTATCTGATAAAAAATTTGAAATGAAACATCTTTAAGGTGTTTATGTATACACATAGATTTTTGCTGTTTAGCCTAGGTTTGAGCACCATTGGATCTACCTACCATCGGTCTTGGAGCACACTTTGTTGGGTGCAGAAAATAAGAATTTGCTGAATATATTTTTAATGCAAAATCAATCCTTTTAAAATGTTCCATGTGTTTACTACCTATATAAGCAATTACAAAACATGAAGTTGCGCTTAAACAATCGACAACAATAATTACTAAAATCAATAGTAGTCAGTGTAATACGTTGCTGGATATAAAGGATATAAATAAGATGAGTAGTCAACGTACTCCGGATGTTTGTAGTTAACGAACTCAATGGGAGCAACGGAAGCGACTGTTTGCTCATTGCGTCCTACGAAGGCGTTCTCCACTGGGGCGTTCGTGCCGTAATTTTCGGAAGGTACTGGGCTATTATAAGATTGAACTGATGATCTTACAGCATCCTCTGATCGGACCACACCCTGCACCTTTTGATCTCCGTTTGGTCGATCTTGAACGGCGTAGTCATTTTGGTAATTAGAATTTTGTAAGTTGTTTCGTCCAAAATGGGTTTGTAACGTTGGAAGCATCGCGGCATCAGAAAGCGCAATGATGGCGGTCCATAGTAAAACGATCTAGAAAAATTATATTCTCTAATTAAAGGCGTACCTATTTGAATTGATATACGTACATTAGTTGCCATTGTTAATGATTCTTTTCCACTACTATTTCTTTTATGTTTTTATTTGCCTTATATATTACCATCACTCATTCGGATTGTTAGCCACTCCTGCGAAATTTAAGATGCTTGATATTTGATGCACTTTGGATGTCAATTTAAATCACTACAAAATGTATTGACATTACTACTCATATTATCGTTAGTACTATCTGGTTCGCTTTGTTGTCGTCGAATTACACAAGCGTTCTTGATAATCCACACTGTTCATAAGATATTACAACGTCTCATTTATACTGATAGTTGTTGGATTTAAACCTAATTCGATATAAAATTAAATATTTATCCAACTTGCACCATGATCTGAAAAGGATGAACCGAGGACAAAAGAATATCGCTGCCACGAATGAAAATTTATTGTTGGGTTACACTGTAAGCCAGTGTTTTTCGCTCATAATTCGAAACCGGTGAACGTTCTAGCATTGAATCCAACTCCTCATATTCAATGGTTCTAGTGAAAAGCTCTGAAGATCAAAATGGAAGGTTATAATTGTAAATAACAATTGAAAGGGTATAGTGCATTGTATTCATATCACGAAGTGTATTCTAATTTTACTTTTCATTATAAATTAATGTACCTATATAGATTATCTTACTTTATTTGTGCCACCGTATACTCTTCCTCATTAAACAAAGTTCTAATTGGTAAAAAAGTACGATAGGTATGCAAGCCGAAAAAAGTAGGGGACCAGTACAAGCAGTTTCTCTAGTATTCCTACCATATTGTCTCAAAATTTGCGCTGGTTTTTTTTAGTCTTCTTTCAAGAACCCCAAGAGAAGGATGGGACCGGCAGTTGTTTCATTAAATTTGATGGGTATACACTCTTGATGTTTTTGAAAACAATTGGAACGGTTTGTTTTAATCGACTTTGCAAAAAGAATTGATTCGATTTTGTCGTGTAAGTCGCCCAAGAATATTGGGGTTACCTCGGCAGAAAGTGGAATAAAAATGCGTCTCTAGCAGTTCACTGAATATTAGAATAAACTAGTTTTCCTATGACGTGTGTTCTGAGCGTCTGAATAGACATCAAACTTTGTTTCAAAAGTATTCCAGTTAATTTTTTTTTAATTTTTTGAATTTAGGTTTTTGGTTTCTTTGTTTTTATGTTCATAAATAATTAGAAGCTACCAAAGTTCTTAGGGTTCATGCCTTCATGCGGTAGGAACTTTGGGTACATTTTTGCAGATTCCGCAAATGTTCCATTTTGGTCCCCTCTACCATCCAGTTCCAGAAGCAACATCAGTCAGTTTTTGAGTGTGTTTGGGTGTTCTGTCCGGTGAAAATCACAGTTACCCTGATATTTTCGATTATTAGCACTTTAAGGTAATTAAGATTTCTTTAATTGTTTGAATCGATCGCTGGTTGCGTGGTATCTGTATTCTGGTTCTGAGTGCCAATTTTTATTTCATCGGTATTTGATTGATTTTGTCTAATAAATTTAAAATGTACTATGTTGTGTTTAATCGAGTCCAAAATACGACCCAGGACATAAGAGTTCTTATTCTAAATTTTTCTGTTGAAAATACATCCCAAAAAAACTGGATTGCATAGTATATACTACTCACTTTCCTTATTTATCGTTGAATTTTCGGTTTGTCACCCAATCTTTCGAAAATTGCAACGGGAGATGCTTCCTATAAAAGCAAATTAAAATCACATTTATAAAAATAGCTACGAATTGCGCTCACGGAAATTTTAATTGTATATGTGCGAAGGCAACTCTCTTAGTTGCAAGCTTTCAAATAAAGGTTTGTTATCATTTTGGTTAAATAACTAAAAAGGAATTCGCTGGGGTAGTGATTTTTTTTGTGAATGCGGACATGCGTTTGTGTAAATCATTTACAATTATTTACAATTAATAACTTCTTTTTAGCTATAGTTCAACACAAAATTATGATTCAGCAAACAATACTAATTAAATTACTTATTTTTGCATTTTACTCAAGTAGGATTATTAATTTAAAAATCAATTTAGTAACGAATTATTCTTTAGTCGTTCATAAATTATATTTTTTTATTCAAAAAATTTAAAAATTCAGTATTGAGTCTATTAATTAAACTTTTTGGCAAAATTTAATTTTTGAGTCTTCAAAAAATCTTTTTTGTGCATTGTACCGATTAAGTATAATTTCGATAATTAATTATTAACTTATTAACACCACGAAGCATCGGGCTCAGAAAAGAAAACTGACAGGTTAAACTACGGGGGCGGTACTACAACTAAAGGAGGACTATTCAAAGATAAAAATGATAAATGGCACCACAAATATTCGAAGTATGTATTTAATTTAGACTATGTCAAAAAGTTCAATTGCAAACATACCGGATATTAGCCCGTAATTTGTAGCAATATGGTCACCAAGTTGACTGGAAACCTTAAAATTTTGCTCTACTCTTCTGATGACGCCGATAAGTAAACGTGAGTTCTTGATTTTTAGCGCATTTTTTAAGAATTAAAAAAAAAGTGTTATTGTTTGCGTTTTGTCTAGGGGAATGGTCCTAGAGTCCTGGAATGTTTTTCAGTAGGTAGCCTATACCTTGAAGGTGTGCCAGACGGCCATCAAATTTCGCTGTCTAAAAGGCCCCCCTCCCCCACGAATTATTTCCTGAGATGCTGTTTTTGAAAGTAAAACGTGCATAGCTTTTACATACGACAACCAATTGGTTTCAGGTGATGTCAAAACAAAAGCTATTTCGATTTAAAAAATGCGCTTTATCTGTACAAGAGTTGTGCACAATTAAATACTTGTTTCTTTTTCCTGGAGTTTTGTGCAATAATTTGTAAAATTTAATATTATTAGAGTTCTATTTAAACAGAATTTACCAGTACGAGAACCCCAATTACACTTACACTTATAATGCAATTCTTAGGGAGAAGTAAAACGAAACACGGCAATATTTGACAATTATGTTATGATAATCTATTGACAGAGCTCGTAATTTAAGATACACATTAATAAAATCCTGGATGATACCCGGAGTAAAAAGGTGAACCGTGGTGATATCCGCTGTAACCGTTATATCGGGGGTAACCAGGGTGTCCGTGGTATCCTGAGTAACCTGGGTATCCTGAATAGTCGAATGGTGCGAATCCGTAAGGTGAAGCCAATTGGTGAACTGGATTTGTCACTTTCGCTTTCACCACTGGTTGTGCTGCAACTTTGGCTGGTACATCTGCTGCGGCAACTGGTACTGCTACTTTAGCTACAGGTAACGGTGCAACATGTGCAGCTCCAGACGGTACGTAGCTTACGACAGCGTTAAAACCACTGACACCATCGGCGGTATATTCCACGATACGTTCCATACCGTTTGGTTCCTGTACAGTGTATCTGCCGTGAACTGCGTCCCCATCGCGACTTTCCCTTTGACTCTTGAAATCTCCAGTTGTCTCGTCTTGAACGGCGTAATTAAACGAATAATGGGCAGGTTGGTTTAATTCCGGCGATTCTATTGGTACGATTGGAGCAATAGCGGCGGCCGCAAATGCCACGACAGCAGCGAATACTAATACCTATAAATGTGATATTATAAACAAAATTGTACCTTAACAAAAGTACTTACCTTCAGTGCCATGTCAGGGACCTTCCTTGTCTGATTACAAGACAATTGTGATGAACCATTCGAAAAGTCTTACTTTTTATACATTGTCCAACTCATTAACATATTATGAAGGATTCTCGTAACCTTTAAAGATCTTCTATTTTCGAATGGCAGACTTGTTTCTTGTTATCGCAAATAATTGCCGACTTAATATGCCATTTAGTCCACCTTCCCTAAATTACTACTTATATTAATATGTAATTTAAATAAGTGGTTAGTTGTCGTAGCTTGCTATCAAAAGAAGAAGAGTGTTGCTACCAAAGCTTTAGCCGTAGTAATTATGTAACAATATCTCCTGACAATCGTTTCTATGGAAAATATTCAGGCTGGAAAATTTAAACTTCTTTTTGCTCAACAAATAGAACATTTCTCGATCTTTACATAAATAATACATTTCTTATACTCTAAAGGTATTTTTATAACATTTTTTTTTATAGTTTTGACCATCCTTAATATCAATCGATTACATTAATGGTACAAGTCATTTAAAATGTAAATAAGCTCGCTACAGGAAAACCCTTCTGGTATTTGGCAGACCGCAAGAAGTATGTTGCTTTAAAAATACCTTCCTAAGCTATAGGTACCTAGTTTCCAGTAAATTACACTGTTTTACAGGTTGTCTTCTTTTTGCAAGCAAACGGTTGTGCGTGCTGTGTCCAACTAGGAGGTTAGGAGCGATAGTCTTACCATTGTTGTGATTTAAAAGGAAAGTTAATAAACTAACTTTTTTCCGGAAACATTTAGGAAGACACGAAGTTTCGTTACTTTTACAGGAAAGAATCACTATATGGAAAACACAACAGTTTTTAACGGAGAAAATACAGAGTATGAAGTATTTAATAGCGTTATCTCAGAGGTAAAATGTTATAGGTGACTTACGGTGAATTTGATCTAAGTTCGCACCTTGGCGTGCGACCAATTAAATTATTTAAATACACTTTCGCACTTAATTACTTAATCTAATCTAATCTCGAATCTTAACGGATTGATACGTGAACCGATGCTTGTAAATTCGCCCTTCCATTAATCTTCTAGTGCGGCATCAATCATCATATGTGTCGCACCAAATAGCTACTAATATCAAACTTTGAAACAACGACAAACATCAACTTAAATGTCTAATAAAATGAAGTAAATGAATAAACTAAAATTAACTTAATAATAATTTATGGAAATTAATAACGTAACTAAATATCTTAAATTGATTCAGTAATGCGTACTAGTTTCCGATTATAATAAATTTCTGATATTTTCATCCCTGTTAAGGAAGTGAGACTGTCGTCAAAGAATTTCCGGAGTTTCGAAACTCCAGGTTTGGCAGTTTTGAGAATCTGGCTTAAAGTGAGATTACGGTTCATCGGTGAAATAACTTTTCCAATAAGCTGTCGTCTTGTAGATTTTCACCAAACCAATTGAAATAGTTTACACGCTTTTGAAAGTAGGTGCGTCTTGTATCTTTATAAATCAATAAGCTATTCGACTAGGGTAGCCGCTTAGAATTCGTAATCAACGTTTGGTGGTCTTGATTTCCATTATTTAAATAGAGTGCAAAAGCTCTTAATCCATTCTACAATATTTAAAACGAAAATATTTTTAAATAAATAAATAAAACTTAATTCAACTACCTTGTAGTTATTCGGGGTTCATAAATTTGTAACCTCTACTAGTACTATTTCCGAATCTGTAATACCGCAAATCAATATTGTGGTTCCAACTTAACGCCACAACTATATAAAAAAAACGAGTCATACTTATGTACTCATTTTATCTTCTTGATTTTTACCAATTGGCGCTATAAAATCAAACTATTTCCCATTAATTTTTTCCCCTGATAATTACGGAAAATAGCGGTAGGTACTTAAATAACTCACTTAAAATGAAAAGAACGGACGCACGCAAAATGGTAAAAGATACCCACAAAATCAAGCGTTTAACTAAGAAATCCAGAATTTGGGGAAGTGGAATTGGGAATTTCCAGCTCCTCGCTGTATTGACGACTGAATCGATTCAAATTAATTCGGTTTTTAATTAATTACCCGACCTTCAATTATCGGAAAAATATAAGATGGACATCAGACTTCCCGTTTTTTAAACGCGTTCATTTTGCGATTACTTTGAACGCGTATGCCGGATTGTTCTACAGCTCATTGAAAGTTTGCACCGAATAGGTTCAAGCGTTTGGCAGAGACCACAGAGAGGCGTGACTCCAAGGGGTCATTGGATTTGACCCATTTTCAATAGGCTTATTGCTTGTGGCATATATTTTATTTTTATTTATTTTTTTTTTAATTTATTTTATTTATTATCCCTCTCTTGTTCTGGGCCCTCACCCAATTACAGAGTGACCCGCATAATGCTTTTTAGAGGTGCTCCTGCAGAAGGTCTTAAGTTGTTCTATACTACTCCGGTATTTACCTTACGAATTAGGAAAACTGCAGGAAAACCTAATTCGGAGTAGCCGGCAGAATACTCGAAAATGATCTAAGGAAATTCCCATTTCTGCCACAGATGATAAATTAACCTCAACCCAGGTTCGAACAACCGACCTCCGGATTTATATCCCAATGCTCTACCAATGAACGATAAAGCCGGGTCAACTGTGCATAGTTTGAACCGAATCGGTCCAAGCGTCCAACAGTTATTGTGTTCACGGTCGAACAGACGGACCTGCCAAAAAGCGCATTGCTGACAGGTAACGAGTCGAACGTAGATGCCCACAATTCGAATAAGATTAAGTTAATGTAATAATTACCTACGTTAATTTAATATCCCATTATCAATTCGTCTGTTAATTATTAACAGGCGAATTGATAATGGGCGAACGATTAGAACGAATACAGTCATATGAACTTACTTTCATTAATTTACATGCGTTAATTTACATATTACATAAACTACATCGGAACGTGCTTTCGGCAAGTTGAAAAGTAAAGACAAAGGTGGAAGAGCTCGTGCACCTAAGTCAAAGTATCCCGCTGAGTGATGCGTAGACGGGTGCTTACAGATCAACTTTCCTTACAGGGTGGTCAACGTAACACTATGAAATTGGAAAACAAGGCATGAGTGTGGTTAGATAAACTTTTGATGATTTTGGGCTTAGGTGTTTTGAGCTTGCGATATTAGACTATCACAATTGAAATTTTTTGCATTTTAGAAATTATTTCTCTACAACCACGATCACTAAACATGTTCTGAACATCTGGGGTTCGTCCGATTTTGCAAATACATATTCTACCACCAGATTCTTTCTTTTGGTGTCAGTTCTTCATTCCTGTTGTAATTTTGCCCCCAGTAAACATTTTTTTGTTTATTTAAAGAAGCAACTTTCTTATACATAATCGGCCAGTAAGGGGATCCTAGCGAGAAATAATTTAAAAGTATGTGATAGCTGATAATTACAATTTAATTTGTTTGCAACTGGTACAGAATAAATAAATAAATACAAACAATCTAATAATATCCTGGGTGATGTCCAGAGTAGAATGGAGAACGGTGTCCATGGGGGTATCCGTGGAAGCCGGAATATCCGGGGTATCCTGTGTAACCTGGATATCCATGGTATCCTGAGTAACCTCGGTATCCATGGAATCCTGTGTAAGCTGGGTATCCGGGGTAACCGGAATAGCCATGTGGTCCAAATCCGAAAGGAGCGGCAACTGGGTGAACTGGTTTTACTTCTTTAACTACTGGAGCTGCAATTTTTGCTGGTACAACTGCTGCCGGAAGAGGCGCCGCTACTTTAGCAACTGGCGCGGGTGCAACATGTGCTGCTCCGGTTGGTGTGTGACTTACGACCGCATTGAAACCGTTAACATCATCGGCAGTGTATTCTACAACACGTTCTAAACCGTTGGGTTCTAGAACGGTATATCTTCCTTGAACTGTACCTCCATCTCGAGATTCCGATTGAGTTTTAAAATCACCAGTTGTTGGCTCTTGTACGGCATAATTAAATGCGTATTGTGGATGAGGGTTGAATTCCTCTGGATGGAGTGGTGCGGGAACTGGAGCAACAGCAGCTGCCGCAAACGCCACAATGGCAGCAAATACGAAAACCTGCCGAAATGGTATTGGTGTCATAAAGAACTTTATTATAAGCAAAAATACTTACTTTGAGTGCCATTCTAAGAGCTTCTTGTACGATTACAAGTCAACTGTGATGAATTCTTCGAAAATCTTACTTTTTATATATTTGCCTGCTCATTAACATATGTGAAGGATTCACGTAACCTTTAAAGATCTTCTATTTTAAATGACATACTTGTTATAAATATCACAAATGGTTCTCTACTTAATATGCAAGTCGATTCTACATTCTATTATCATTTGAATGAGTTTTTTTCCCATACAATATTATTTATGTCAATTACATTGGAACTTTTTTTCATTTTCCTAGTGAATCTCGCTATCCCATTAAATAAATTACTTCCGAAGTATGAGTATTTATACAAAAATACTTTACTACTAGTTCTAGTCATCTACTCATATAGGTACACGATTTAATTCTTAATCTTTAATTTTTTAGAATTTTAGATAAAATTCGATAACAATTCACCAAAACTGTCGTGTTGGCGTAAAAATTACCCTAAGGAACTAAGTTATATTTGTATAAAAAAGATTTTTAAGACGTTTTGCAGAAAGTATTTTTGTTTGCTTATAATCATATCGTCAAATTGACTGATTCAGTAGGATTGGTTTTTTATTCGAGCGCTTGCGATGTGATTTTTAGCGGTTGTTTTCTTCACCCGCTCATAAAACTGGCCATAAGAAATTGCTGTCAGTACAGTCAATTTTGACCCTTGTAAGATCTCCACCCCAACTTCGTTAAGGGGACTCAATCTGTTTTTCAAGATTGTGGAACTGACTTCTTAGAGTATAAAACAATATTTTTACCAACTTTGTTGGAGAAGAGTCATCTTTTCAAAAGTAACTGTTAATCAGAATATCGTTCATCAATCAATGCTTTTATGCATTCAAAGATCTGTAACCAATAAATAGATAGTAACGACGTACCGAATCTATCAACTGCAAAATTATTTGGCTTTCATTTTGATAGCCACCTAAATTCGAGACTTCACTGCAACGAAACTTTGTGTTAGATTAAACACCGCAACTGTTTTTGGTTTTTGCTATATGCAGGTTCTATTTTGCCGTGTCCGCTCTTCTCTATCCATTGCCTTTATTTTCATATCCACGAATCCTGTCCTCTCTTTTATATCATCTACCATCTTCTTCCTCTGTTCCTTGTAGCTCCTTCGATCAGCTCTTCCAGGAAACTATTCCCTCTTAGCACATGACCAAGCCACATTCTTTTCCTTCTCAAGATTGTGTTATACAAAGATTGTTCATATTCTTTCTAGTACTTGTACGTTCCTAATGATGTCACACCACTTTATTCCAAGCATTCGTCTTCACATCCACATTTCCATAGCTTCAATTCAATTCCAAAGGTATCATCAGTATCTTCAGGAAATTTTCAAATCATTTCCCTGGTTCGTTATATCATTACACAGAGATATGAGATATAAATTCCTTCATTCCTTCTTCCTAAAGACACCTCAATATTTCTACTGGAATTTTATGTATTCCCGTGATTTCATATCTTTCATCTTCGATAAACATAATTCTGGCTGCTATATTGTCAGGACAGACTAATCGTCTTCCAGTACTTTTCCATTTCTGTCTTCCACCTGATTGCTACAACCAGCTCTTGATGATCTATCCCAGGTAACCTCTTTAATTTATCTCTCTTTCATCTTGGCTATCATTTTCTGATTTATCGAAGGCTTCTTTGATCTTCCTTTGTTATATCCAACTTTCTCTTCAGCTGCTTTTATTATTCCCACCTTGATTCTGTTCAACATGAGTTGTAATGAGCATTTGATTAATAATTAAACCACCCACATATCTTCCCAAGTGCCTCAACGTCCCAAACCAACATTGTTTACACAGCAGTATGTACACTTGAATCAGTAACATTTCGTTTGGCACAAAGTTAAGTTTTAGAGCCATCAGTCACAAATTGCACATCTTTGTGTCATCAAACCAAGGCTGTTTTTAATCCTTTCTCACCGTAGATTTTCAAGCTTTCCCTCTTTTAGTAGACTTCTGACGTTCTTCAATTTACCTGTTTTCTTAGCCTCATTGTTTTCAATGCAATACATCTATTTCAAGGAAAGAAGCAATTCCGTTAAAAGTACGTCAAGTTCAACAATAGAAGCAGGTATAGGAATCATGACAACGCTGTGTAATTCATGTGCATAAGAATAACTATATGATTTGTATACATAACTTGATTCGCATGATATTTTCCTCGGTCAAGAGATTATTACAACAATTACATAGGTCTCAAAATATTATTATGTGCAAAGGTTTATTCCAACGACTAAAAATTTGAACATTTAAAAGTTTAATAATTTTCGAAAATTATAAATTAATTTGCACTTATTCTCATAAATTAGACAACAAGGATACATATTTTATCTGATAATTACTACCGCAGTGACGTTTCTATAGAGTGGAATGACAACTTTGATGCGTTATTCTTTTTAGAAAAATAGTTATCCCACCATTTCTTTTAGGGTTTTGGAGAGCTTGGGTTGCATAACTTTGTACTTTCGGTTTCACTGTTTTTGTTCAACAGCCCGCAATTTTTGTCTTGTCCCCGATTCTATTTGTTTACGTTTGACACAGATTTTTTATTAGCAAAAATTCATCAACTTTGTTAAACAAAGTAAACTATTTTGTAGTGTGGATTTTTACAGTTTACAAGTTTTTTCCCAGAACTAAATGTTGGAATGAGCCCTGGGGCTTTGCTTGGCGTGCACAAAAATGGTTGCGATATTTCGTAATTTATCCATAGATAGTTGATTAATATTCTGGAGCCCTTTATAACCCTCCAACAAAGTAAGTGAAGATATGTTTTATTTGAACGGAGTCAAGAAGGGGAAGTCTATCAGACTTCCAATGCAGTACTTTTTTAAGAGGTAGATAACAATGTGGCGTAATGTTCTAGTTATATGTAATTTGTTGTCGTTATGCACATAGTCCAATACACAATCTAATAATATCCTGGGTGATATCCAGAGTGGAATGGAGAACGGAATCCGTGATGGTATCCGGAATATCCGGGGTATCCTGTGTAACCTGGGTATCCCTGGTATCCTTGATATCCATGGTATCCCGAGTATTCGAATGGTGCAAATCCTTTAACTGCTGGAGATGCGATTTTGGCCGGTACAACTGCAGTGGCAATTGGCGCTGCCACTTTAGCTACAGATACGGGTGCGGCATGTGCTGCTCCAGCTGGTGCGTGACTTACGACAGCCTTGAAACCATGTACATCGTCGGCGGTGTATTCTACAATACGTTCCATACCGTTTGGTTCAAGGACCGTGTATCTTCCATGAACAGCATCTCCGTCGCGGGTTTCCGATTGACTCTTGAAGTCTCCAGTCATTGGTTCTTGAACGGCATAAGTAAACTCGTATTGTGGATGGGGATTGAATTCTTCTGGATGCACTGGTGCAGGAACAACAGCGGCTGCTGCAAATGCAACAATAGCAGCGAACACCAAAGCCTAAGGATGCAATGTTGTTACGGACATTTAATATAAACAAATGTAAATTACTTACTTTAGTTACCATTTTGTTTCTCTGTGCGACTGCAAGTCAACTGTGATGAATTCTTCGAACATCTTGCTTTTTATACATTATTCTACCAATTAACATACTGTGAAGGATTTACGTAACCTTTGCAGTTCTTCTTTTTTAAATGGCAGACTTGTTTCTTATAATCAGAGTATCAGGAAATTATTCTAATTTGAGATCCGTATTGCTATCTAGCCTAATTAAATATCTTTTTTATTTATCCCGTTACCATTCACTAATATGCATTTAAACTTGCGAAGTTTTTGATGCATTCAGCACTTCATTCATTCTCACTGAGGTTGTTTGCACACAACCGTCTATATTTACTAAAATACTCAATTTTCTTGAAGTTTACAGCGAAATCACAATATGAATACAGGGTGTAATTGAAAAAAAAAACGTCGCAAGCTGTAGCCTGTACAGTTTTTGTCTGAATTTGAAATTTGGCAATTGTATAAGGTGAGTAAATATGCATTAGAAGACGTGTTCAATTGCTTCTTATGATTTGACCGAAAATGTGTTAAATTTCACACTCATTTTCACAAATATTTTTAAAACAGAGGAGAATAGATAGATCAGTTTTACATTAGTCAGGATCATCTGGTATCAGGAAAATTTTCGTCACTCACAAACGGCTGAACCGATTGAAACCAAATTTGGTGGACATACTCTTTGACATGAAGGGAAGGGCTGAAAAGTTTTTGGACAGAATCGCACATGCGCAAGTACGTCAAACCTCTCATTTGAGCTAAACGGCTGAACCAATTGGAACCAAGTTTGTTAGTTTGGTACACATAGAAGGGCAGAATCGCGAATGGGTAGGGGTACTGGTCACAGCACATTTTTTCACTTTCACTATTATATTCATAGAAGAGGACTCAAGATTATTGTTATTTCTCTTCAATTGGGCAATATGATGGCAGACTTTATCGTGTAGTGGAACAAGCTCTGTTTCAAAAAACGGTGTATACTTTTTTACGGGTTAAGGCATCACCTTTGTTGTTTTGATTTTGGGGGTTTAGATAACGTGACTATATGCATGTTTTTTTTATTCTGGCATAAAATTGCGAACCCAGGTTCCGAACAGTAACCAATTTTAAAGTTAGTCACCTAACGATCTTGTTGATGTTAAGTCATTTATCTGGTCGCTATTGGGGCTAATTTTCGGCAACTATGAAACGTTCATTTTAAACATCTTACACCAATTAAACAACTAGGCTTTTGACGAAGTGGATTTCTCATGTTGTGTTTGAAGTTTTTTCAAAAAAATGACTTCGTTTGATACTTCCATTTACGAGATTACACACTGGAACTACTGCATACTTTTCCCTAAAATTAAAATAATTAAAACGACTTTTCATATTATACTCATCCTCCAAGCAACTCGTCTTGTTTTCCTCAACAACATTAACTTCTTCGCAAATTTTGAAGGTAAACTTTTGAAAGAGGACAAAATTTCCTATCAGATAGGTTTAACATTGCTTTAAAACAACTTAGTTTTCATCCAGCGACAAATTACCACTACATGGCAGAAAGATAAGATGTTTATGGTGTTCTGAGATCGAATAAGTAGCAAATTTCTTTAAGAAATGTGTTTTTCAAATATGCGTGGGAGTGACTGTTTCCTTGGAAAAAGTGACAAATAGCCAGCACACATAAAAATTTACTAATATCTAATTAGACATTGTATGTTCCTATAAAGGGTAGTCTAAATTTGTGTGAACGCATGCGATAAATGCGGCTTAGAATTTGGGGATGTCTCAGATTTCTCAAGATGACCTGTTTCCAGGCTCTTCCTGAACCCTTTACCACGTGTACTGAAGGTAGACTTGCACAAAACACAGTCTTATAAATAAACATTGTGCTGTCAGTGTGTAAAACCCAACGATAATTCGCTCAAATTCATTTAGCACTTTATTCTATCGTTTAGTTTATTAAATACAAGAAATGAAAAATCCATTTCAACATATAAGGATCAAGAAGTAATGTGGTAATTATATTATAATTTGTTGGCAACCGTTACAAAGTATTTCAAAACAAAATCTAATAATATCCTGGGCGGTATCCAGAGGAGAATGGGGAACGGAATCCGTGGTGGTATCCGCTGTAGCCAGAATATCCTGGGTATCCCACGTAACCTGGATGTCCATGGTATCCCGAGTGACCTGGATATCCATGATATCCCGAGTAAGCGAATGGTGAAAATCCTTTAAGCGCGATTTTGGCTTCTGCTGCAACTGGTGCTGCTACTTTAGGTACAGGTGCGTGTGCAGCTCCGGAAGGTGTATGGCTTACGACCGCGTTGAATCCGTGAACATCAGCGGTGTATTCTACAATACGTTCCATACCGTTTGGTTCAAGGACCGTATATCTTCCATGAACTGCATCTCCGTCGCGGGTTTCCGATTGACTCTTGAAATCTCCAGTTAATGGTTCTTGAACGGAATATTTAAACTCGTACTGTGGATGGGGGTTGAATTCAGTTGGGTGCACTGGTGCGGGAATTGGAGCAACAGCGGCTGCGGCAAACGCAACAACAGCAGCGAATATCAAAACCTATGGATGCGGTATTGTGTATTACATTCACTGCAAATAAATAAGAGTGATTTACTTACCTTAAATGACATTTTATGTTTCTGTATACTGTACGATTGCAGGTGAACTGTTATGGCCTATTCGAAAATATTGCTTTTTATACATTAGCTTACCAATTTACATATTGTGAAGGATTTTTGTAACATTTGCAGTTCTTCTATTTTGAATGGAAGACCTGTTTTTTATAATCAGAGTATCATGAAGTTATTCTAATTCAATATCCGTATTGCTATCAGATTTAATTAAGCATTCTTGTGTTTATCCCGCTACCATTAAACCAATTTAGATAATGCAATTAGAATTTTAAATATGAAAGTTTAATAATCACTTTGTAGGTTGTAATAATAATAATAATATGGGATAATGCAGATACTCACCTAAAGGAAATCAAGCCAACCATTATCCCATGGGAAAATAATTGCTATGGAAGTAGAAGAGAACAAGTTGCATTATCAAGAATAAGAATCGGTCACACAAACTTAACACATTTACATTTATTAGGAAAGAGCCAACAACAGAAATGCAACGAATGTGATATCTATTTGAGTGTCAGACATGTTCTTTGTGAATGCCCAACGTATAACATACAGAGAATGCAAGTAGGTATACCAGAAACGGAACGAGAAATTTTTCGTGATGAGTAGCGTGCAATAGAAACTCTAATGGAATATTTAAAAATAACGGGGCTTAAAAAAAAAATAATAATAATAATGGTTTTTATTGGTTAAATAATGGTTCCTACACCATAACCAATGGGCACAAGGTCAGGTAAACCCGTTGATATGGTCACCTGTTCTTCCCCTTGAAACCCCCTTGTGTAAATACAAATAAATAAAGTTATTCTGCAATAGAAGTTATTTGTAAAGTAAACAATTATTGACAGGCAGCTTATCGTTCGCATTAACATTCGCTCTCTAATGATTCGATGTTTGATGTTTCTTTTGAAGACTGCAGCAGGCAGATACAGTAATTTTGTATTTTTGGGGTTGTTGCAAAATTTACAGATGTTGAATAAGAAAGATCGTTTGAATAATGATAATTTAAACATAGTAGTAGTTATTTTGGAAACTCTGTTTCTATTAATAATAATAATAATAATTTAATCGTTCGATTGTCATTACAATCATCGATAAGTAAAAATTAACAAACAATAATATGTAATATGTCTATTGTTTCTTTGGACATTTTACAGCGAAACATATAATACTATACACCAAAAGCTTGAAAATTAAGATCTTGTTAACGTATTCCAAAGAATAAAAAGCACTTTGCTATGGTAACTGCGTGCATACGCCCAGTTATTTGATCAGAACGTTTCTGAAAAAAAAAACTGTTACCTACTTGGAGCAAATTGCACACTTCGTCATATATTCCGACCAATAATAGTCTAGAAAACTGCTAGTACTAGCAGACCCCGCGAAACTTCATGCCGCCTTTGAGAAATCTCGTTTTCTTGGATGAGACAAAATTATGCTCGGTTTTGGAGGCTGCGCCGCCTCACCTCATACTCCCACCGAACTGCATACCGCCTATCAGTCACCGCGTCTCACCTCACGCACCTGGTGAATTATATAGTCATCTAGCAGTATGAAATATATTTTTTCTGAAACTACCTTAGAAACAACTACTTTCGTCGCTAAAAAGGTGAAGAACACGCGATTTTCCTCTCTAGTGAGGAAAGTAAAAAACAATTGCTACGTTAATCTTAATAATGGCATTTAAAATTGAAACATACGCGTATCAAGATTGCTAAGTGTCGAACTTCATTGTTGCGTACGATAATTTTTTTATTTTGATTGTGGTTTTAGAAAAAATTATGTGTAAAACTTGAGAAGAAAGTGTTTTTCAAAAAACTCCACTTTCTTCTCTAGTTGTACAAATAACTATTTTTCCGGGACGAGAAAAACGTTTGAAATTTTATCTCTCTCTCTGTTGATAGGGAACAAAATGTCCCTTTTTATGAAATTACTTTTTTCCCCGGGCTGTGAACTAAAAAAGGTGAAGTCAGAGAAAATTCAGAATCAGACATTTTTAACTTTATATCATTCAATATAACTACTAAACAATCATTCAATTCGAAATGTGTAAATCAAACGACGAAACTGAATTGACAAATATTTGAGTAAAGGTTTCCTTAGAAACGCAGTATATCGTTTTCCCCGTCACAGAAAAAAATGGTGTATTATACACGGGAAACATGTTAGATTTTGCTCTCGGTTTTTTGTCTCCCTCGGCTTCGCGTCGGGAGCATTTACTGAAATATGAACTATAGATTCCACGGCCTACTTGTATTTAATCCACATTTTCAAGACTGATTAACGGTTTTCCATATTAATTTCAATTTTCTTCCCATCAAACATACTGGTAACTATGTATTTTTCTAATTAGCAAAATATAAGGAAATTATTGGTGCAAAAAAATATTATACGTTCCATTTGTAAAAACCAACTTCGGTGCTTATCTTAAAAACTAAGCCGGCTATGGAAAATATAAGTATGCCCCCCGACTATTTTTACATAACCTTTATTCTTCCTACTTTTTTGATCATACCACAAATAACTAAGTTGTAAAGCAAAAACGTTTTAATGCATTTTTTGGACTTTTGCGCTGTTGCCACGTTCGCGCAAGTCACACGTCAAAATTGACATCCTCAATTTATACAGCTAGAACTAGAAGTGCTATCCGCATCACTCTATCTCTAAAGATTCCCGAAAACACCAAAAACAAGCAATTTGGAACACCCCGTACAAGGGAAGTATTCAACAATTTTTATCTCTATATAGAAACCAATCAAATTTGAAGCAAAGTATTTTATTAATCGAAATTCTCTGTTGGATACATTTATTGCAACGAAGTTTTTGTACCTCTCAAAATTCTGCAAACCAGTCCTTCACAGCTTCCATCTCATGTTCACTGGAACAGAATTTGGTACTATATTTCAGTTGAGGAAAGACGTGATAGGCAGACAGAGTTAGATATAGTAATCGGTATTTCGAACCCCAAACCACAAATTTTTTGCATGGCACGTCCAATTTGTCTTCTGAGGCATTATTCTGCAAAAACAAAAATACATTGAGCAACTCCTCGTAATCCATAATTTTTTCTCGTAAAGTGGTCAGTAACGTCAAATAATATTTCTTAATTATTTTTCTACTTTTATTCAGAAAATGACTCCTTGGCAAGTCCCAAAATATTTCTTAAACCTTGCCTCTATTTCATTCATTGCTGCTTTGTTTATGGGTCGTAAAATGTACAGATATTAACAACACATGCACATTAACAACACGACTTAATAGGTTTGCGCGTTTTTCAAATTGATGACAGGTCGAACGCGGTAGTCTTCCTCTTGCACGCTTCTGCTCAACATTCACACATTTGAGGATCTACGTTGCGGAAAACTGTCTTATGTCCAAAGCGACGTGAACCGTAGAAAGGGAGCTGCCATCCCCTCTACTTTTTAGAACGTCACACGTTTGTGGCATTTGTGTGGGCGATTCGAATTTTTGACTTTACGGATGTCTGCCATTTTGTTGCAGTAAATTTAAGTTTGAATTTGTGTGAAAGATTTATATTTTTGAATTTCCGTATGTCTGTCATTTTTTAGCGGTAAGTTTGAATTTGTGTGAGGAATTCGAATTTATTGTGATTAGCTGTCATTTTAAATATACAGGGTATAGTGATAGTTACAGGGTATTTGTAATCGATGTTTTTGTTTGCTCAAGGTAACTAATTAATGCCTAAAGAGCCAATGCATATTTCTTGTGAGTCCAAGATCGAAAACATATGCACTAGGGGTAGCAATCAGAGGATAGATGCCCGCAGAAACCAGCAATGCAACTACGGCGTCCAAGTTGATCGTACATCGGTAAGAAATACGGTAAATTACTGAATCCAGTTGTTCGGATGTGATCTTCGCCGGTGTTTCAGTCAAGTGGTTTCTCAAACAAATTTGTTGGGAAGCTCTGGGCAATGGACAAAAATTGGATGTGATGGCATTATCAGATTAATAGAGGTTTTGTTTGGTAATCTCCAAACACTTATTTGGTTTTAACATTTCTTTTGGTAATCTCCAAAACGCTATTCCTCTATGGGTAAATAACTAAATATTGAAGATTTTTAGTATCTAATTTGAAAAACCGGACGATCAAGATAATGTTTTCGAAAAGTATTCTAATATGGAATAATGTAGGCAGCTTTCGTAAGGGTTCGTAAAATATTTATTTTCTACGAACGATTCTGACCGATGCTCAGCTTTGAAATTTTACCCTGTTTACGAAATGTAGAACCCAAATTTTAGGCCAGTAAATGAACGTGGAATACGGCGATACTGTGTAATTTTCCGCGTCTCCACCGAATCGCATGAAAATTTGGATTTAGGTTCCTCTTACCCTCTACTTCAAAGTTGAACTTGAGCCCAGGGTTGCTTTTACTTGGGGGGTGAATGCCACCCCTTCTCGGGGGGGAAAAAAGATACGTTCAAAATAAGTAATTCTAAGCAACTTTTGTTCTATAGAGTTTTTTCACTAAGTCAATAGTATTCGAGTTAATTGCGAGTGAAAATGTTCATTTTTCAACAAAAAAACTACGTTTTCAGACGGTTTTTCGCAAATAACTCTAAAAGTAAGTATTGTATCGAAAAAAGTATTCTTAGCAAGAATATAGCATATAAACAGACAAACAAAATGGTCTATATATGAAGTCTGTAGACCCAGTAGAAGCAAAGTTGTAGCTCATGAAAAGTAGGTTCTCATTCGTCAAATTCCAAATCGAGTACTTCAACATGAAATAACTAAAAAATGAAGTACTTTTCGGGGAAAAGTTATGAATACTTTTTTAAAGTGTTTGAAAAAACCTTTCTTTTTGTTTTTAAGAAAAGTTCCTAGCATCAAAACTAAGTGAGTTACGCTCAAAATAAAGTTGGTCCTTTTTTTTTGGTAAAAATAATTGAGGAAATCACCCCTTAATTAGCACCCCAATTGTAATTAAGCGTTACCGCTTTACAGTTTACTTTATTTATGTATTGTTTATATGATCTGTAAGTTTGACCGGTGCAAAGTGCTTATTTTTGAAAAAATGTAGTTTTGAAGTAAAAAAAAAATTTTGAAACTTTGAAAAGTCTTTTTTTCGAAATAACTATTAGTGTATTAGTTTAGTTTACTACAGTGGGCAATTTTTCACTAACTAAACTAATACACTAATAGTTATTTGGAAAAAAATGACAATTTTTCAAAATTTCAAAATTCCTGGGGTCAAGTTCAACTTTGAAGTAGAGGGTAAGAGGAACCTAAATCCAAATTTTCATGCGATTCGGTGGAGACACGAAAAATTACACGGCAAAACGGTCATTTACTGGCCTATTTGTCTTGTAGTGTTTGGTAAGTGCGAAATTACCTACACTATTTGATTGTGTGCTCATACCCATTAGTTGCACTGAGGTGGCTACTGTAATTTATTTGAATTCTTGCACAACCCTTCATAATACTTCTATTCTTTACACTAAGACCGTAACACGGTGTACAGTTAAAGTTTTTTTTCATATAAAATTGTACATTTGTACCGAGAACACGTATAGAGGAATAATAAACATGACGTAATGTGATAATTATGTTGTAATTTGTTGACAAGTATTACAAAATAGTTCAAAACAATCTAATAATGTCCTGGGTGATATCCAGAGTAGAATGGAGAACGGAATCCGTGTTGGAATCCGGAGTATCCGGGGTATCCTGCATAACCTGGGTATCCGTGATATCCCGAGTAACCTGGATATCCGTGATATCCCGAGTAGCCGGGGTATCCGTGATATCCCGAGTGTGCGAATGGTGCAAATCCTTTAACTGCTGGGGCTGCGATTTTGGCTGGCACGACTGCTGCGGCAACTGGTACTGCTACTTTAGCTACAGGTGCGGGTGCAGCGTGTGCAGCTCCGGCAGGTGTGTGGCTTACAACCGCGTTGAATCCGTGGACATCATCGGCGGTATATTCTACGACACGTTCCAAACCGTTAGGTTCGAGGACAGTGTATCTTCCATGAACAGCATCTCCGTCACGGGTTTCCGATTGAGTCTTAAAATCTCCAGTGGTTGGTTCTTGTACGGCATAATTAAACTGGTATTGTGGATGGGGGTTGAATTCAGCTGGATGGACCGGTGCGGGGATTGGAGCAACAGCAGCGGATGCTGCGAATGCTATAACAGCAGCGAAAACCAAACCCTAAAAATTCAGTATTATCATCAGTTAATATACAAGTACTTGGGGTAGATACTTACAGTAAGTGCCATTTTAGGAGATTCTTTGTACGAGTACAAATCAACTGTGATGAATTTTTCCAAAATCTTAGTTTATATACATGATCGTCCTACTTATTATCATATTGTGAAGGATTTACGTAACCTTTACAGTTCATCCAGTTTAAATGGCAAACCTGTTTCGTTTAGGTAAACAATTAATTCCCCTCTTACGAAGCAATTTACTTCCAAATTCTAAATGGTAGTGTATGCGTACTTTTTTGCAAGTATCAGGAAACTTATCTAATTTTGTGTTTATACAAATTGGTTAGATATTACATAGAAAATACCTACTATTGTGACCATGTCTATGTCGCGAAATTTTATAATTCACCTGATCAAAATCGTAGGAAGAAGAAATGGTTAAGCAAATTAAATACCAAAGGAAATAAAATTAAAGGCTTAAAAATTTGATGGGCACTTAGCTTCTGTGAGATATTCTTGTCGCTTATGAAGGTCTCAAACTGAATTTAGTAGTGTCTTTGAGCCGACCATTCCCGAAATCTGTCTCAATTTAATTCACTCAAAAAACGTTGTGTTGGAGCAACACAATTACTGGCTGGACAAAAACTGAATGCAATATTAGTGTATGGGTAACGGGTAATGTAAAAACGTTATTTTTCATCAAATTCGTTACATAAACGTATTTGCTAAGAAGGAACTAAGACGTTTCTAAATAATTTTGTCGAATTGTGTAGACGGCTCCCAACAACGCCCATTTATCTTTAAGCAGTTCTTGTTGCGGTATAAACAAAAACCATTCAATTTAATACAGATATAACCAATTTAACATTTAAGAGGTATCTCACGTTGCCTCCACATGAATTTCCGTTGCGTCAAGTTGCTCTTCTTTTAAAATGGCATATGCTACCTACCTACAGTTACCATAAAAACCATCAAACGACCTTAAACTAATATTATACAGTTATCGTATTTCGTTAATAGTATTCAGATGATATTTATGTAAATACCCAATGACATTCTATTTTTTGTTTAAAAGTGATACATATTTGTTATTCGAATAAAAGTCGCGAAGATAAACCCGGTGGTCTTCTGAATTTGAATTCTTCTAATAATTTATGAGAAAGTGGACTTAATTTAATTACGCTTTGAATTGATTAACATTTCTCATATACCTACATTTGAGAGATCTTGATCTTTTGAATCCGTTTGTTTGACGTAGAACAGTTTAGATGTTCATTTCATAATACTTGGTACGTAATTAGTGTAGGTGCAAATTCGTCTACAATATGTTCAAAAACGGTCAATAATTATTTAGGTTAAATAATATGCGAATATTCCTTTAGGAAGGGATCCAAAATTTTATCTTAAATGTCTTGTTTGTCGGTGTATCAGTAAAGATTTAAAGGTCTATACAGTATGAACTACTGCTTTGCATACTAATTTGATTTCTAATCTAGTATGGTAACTATGGAAATGAAACTGGATAATTACATTTTGTTATTGATTTCCAACAAAAAATAACGCCTTTTGTTCAAATCATTTTTCTTTAAAGATTAATAGTAATTTATTATACAAGACGATAAAGGGATGTTTTAGTTAGTTTCCCTTTATCGTCGTGTGTAATGCAAAACTTTATTTTATAACAGAAGCCATATAAATCATTGTAAAGCTTCTGACAATTCTGAATTTAATTTAGAGACGGCAAAAATAACAAGCTTACGTTCTGCCATCGCGATCGTTTCCATAGAGACAGAATTGTCATATGTACTGAACGTCATTTTATATCGTGCATTTACGAATGACAGATGTCATTAGAATGCACAGTCATCTGTTTCACTTTATCTACTCTTACGGTTAAAGTAATCACTTTATCTTTACGGTTAAAGAACGGCTTCTCCTACTCATTCAAACCTGTTAAAATGTCAATATAACATATAACATAATATAATAGTTATTTTGATACCGTACTTAGCTGGCTTGTTCTTTATATACACTCTAAATAGGCACTTTCCGCGAAATGGTATTAGTTGCTCCGGTTGCTCGTCAATTGTCAAATACGATCGTAGAGTGTATTATGTTTTTGCAATTGTTTTCAAGATTATCTCGTATTGGGGCATTTCTTCTAGGGTCCTGCGTTCTTGCCTAGATTCTATATTATCAAATTTCATCAAAAAATCCTATAAAATGCATATACTCCAGTTTCGTCAACATTATGTTTGTTTGTCTCCAAAGAACCTTTTTGGTTTGTAAACTTTAGCACCGGTACCGGAAAAAAGGCCCCTGGAAAAAAACCCGGAATAAAAACCCATGGAAAGAAAACCCCCCGGAAAAAAACCGGAAAAAAACCGGAAAAAAACTCACGGAAAGAAAGACCCGCTGGTAAAAAACCGGAAAAAAACCACAGGGAAAAAAGGAAATATTCCGCGAGAGCTAAAGATGCATATTGTTTACTGAAACAGGAATATCAAACAGAACTCGGTTGAGATATTCTATTAACAAATTTTCACAATTTTTACAAAATACGTAATTGCATATTATCCTAAACTACCATTAACCCTAATTAAACCTAATATTATGACTTATAGCTTCTAAGAAGTTTACCACATCTCTTTGTCCGGCGCTGTATTCTTCGCAGATATTTTTTAGTCTACTTTGCAGCAGTACATATTTTGCTTTCTTCCTTTTTGGGATTAATTGACCTAAATGTTGTTGGTGTAATTTTAAATGAATTTAAAGTATGTTTTCGCAAACGTGATTAAGATCACAATCATTTGTTAATATTTAACAGATGAATAACGTTGGTTTGAGCCCATGTCACTTTGGTAAACATCAAAAATCGACCAATCATATACCATATAATCATTGATTAACAACACTCTTTGTGAAACCGGTATAAGTCACTGAACAACGCTTTTTGCAAGCTAATTCAGCACAGGAGTACACAGTTCGCACTTTTAGAAATTTTACGAAGGGCCGGTTCCACAATGCAAGTATATACCAGGTATAAGCTTTTTCAAGTATAAAATCTAAAAATTCAATCCAATTTTCAGATTTTGTACTTGGAATAACTTATACTATAGGTATATACTTGCCTTGTACAATCGCCCTAAGATGTATACCTACCTATTGTGGAGATTTAAAAAAGGGGGTTTTTATTCCAGGGGTTTTTTTTCCGTGGGTTTTTATTCCGGGGTTTTTTTTCACGGGTTTTTTTTCCCTAGACTCCTTTAGCACGTATTCCATATTATCAGCATTAGGTCTGCTATGGAGCTGGAACGAGGTATTGCAGGATTTGGACCCAAGTAAACGCTTCCTCAGTACGGTTTTTGACCGGCATCGTTTTTTTCAAGGGTTGCTTTAACCAAAATGTGTCTTCTTTACCGAAGAACAGATCAACCTTAATTATGTCGTCATTTTCTGTGTTGGAAATCTCATCATCCTCTTGGATTTCTTTTACGTTATTTTCCGTTTCTGATTGATCGCCCTTACCAGCCTAAAAAGATGAATGCCAACACCTTTCGGATGAGTTTGAATTTCAGCAAAATCTTTCGTTATTTATTACGTTGGTTGAACGATGTTACATATAAGTATGTAACCAAATTGAGTGGCAGAGGGGATCAAAACAAGCACTTTTTCCAAATAAACTGAGGGTCCAACGTGTGTCGTTTGGGACCCACCCTCAAATAAGAGTTACAAAGACTGAGCGTCTCTCTAGGTTTTTGCGTATGACCGATTCCTATTTTGAATTTTTTTTATTTCCACGAAAAGGCACACCCCTAAATGGGGATGCGAACAAAAATTCTGATTTCAACGAAATTTTGGTATGTGAGGGTTTTTGAACATAAAAATCATGAATCTGAAATTAGTTTTGTGCTGTCAGGATGGGCATTGTCTGTTGTGTTCATGGGTAGATGGTATCGCGCAAAAGTAAATCTTCAAAACGAAATTATTGAACAAGTTGATGCGAGTCTTCTCTGTGTGATATGACAAACGGCACTGTTTTATCCATTTCTTAAGTTTTCTTTTTTGTCCTACGGAATTTTTATACGCAGAGAATAGGAATGTAACAACGTAAATCCCAGAAATTTACAGCTTTTTGATGAATTATTTATGCTTTCCTCCCTATTAATGATAAAACTTCCAAAATTCCAAGAAAATGACAGTGAGCTCTGTATTTTTAATGGAATTGTCGAGTGTTTCCGAGATAATTAAAAAATCATCGAGGAAAACTCGAGGTATTGCGGTACCTGTTTAAAGAACTACGTCTTCGTTCTTGTGCTCGTGACTGTCTGCCACCCCCCACCCCCCTCCTCGTCCCGTCTTTCTCATTGCCAAAAAAGGTCTAATAAGATTTGTGCGAGGCGTAAAAGCTTTTAGATCTTAACTGGAGAATTCTATGTGCTTCGCCACCTTAACCTTTTCCGTTAAATTTGAGCCAAATAATAGGTCTGTAGGTCTTTTGTGTTTTTGTTCATATATACATGGGAATATGAACTTTCGCCTTAAAATCGACAGATCGTAAAAATATGAGGCTAAGATATTGCTCGCATCTAGGAGGTTTTTCAATAATTTCTCCCTGCAGTATGGGGGAAAATTTTCGGTTCCTCGGAGAACAATATCAATCCCTCTACCTAGCTATAATCCCGTTGCTGAGGTTACTCTGAAATTTTACATAAGGGGCATGTTTGTCTTGAAGGGATGAAGGTAGAATGCCCTTTTTCTGAATGTAGGGTTGGCACGGTTGCGTGGAATAAAGGTCTTCCTCCTTTGTCCTTGCCTGGGCCAAATTTCGCCGGTAGTAAGATTCAAGTTTTTCTAAACGTTCTGAAAGGTGTTCACTAGATAATTTATCCCCTCGCTGTCAATGTTTTCTTTTTGACTTTCCCATTGTCTAAATTTTGACTGGGCGTGAGATATAATATAAAACGAAGAATTTCTTTGGCCACTTTATGTAAGCGTTGTAATTTTGCCTTCAATATTTCAATTCCAAAACACAATTGTAGGAAATTTTATTTTTAAATGAGAAAGCATATTCGCGATATCGCATGTGCATTAATTCATTTTGAAATAATATTGTTATTATGCCATTAGCACTCCTACAGTTTGGATAAAGGTGTTTTTTTTTAATACTGATCCATTAAAAAATGAG